ACACCGCTAAAACCTGGTAAACCATGACCGGCCTGAGTGACGTAATAATTGATAAAACGGTTGGGATCGTTTCTCTGCAGGTGATAAATCATGTTTGCAAGACGTACGAGCGTAACTGACTCTGAGCGTTATATTATTGTATTTCTCTGATGTGCGGGCCTGAAATGAAGCCTCACCGTTGTTTTTCTGTATAAGAAGTGAATCGGCTCATTCTGATCAGATTTTATTTCGATATGAATGCTTTCTATATGATTCGTAGAAACGCTGATGTAATCCACAGGATTAAACACATGAGTGACCGTGTGACCGAAGGTCCCTTCAACTTTCACCGTACGTAATAAAGGCGCAAAGACGTCGCCGACCAACTGCTCGGTCACGACATCCGTGTAGCAGTAAAATTGATATAGACCGCCTGTTAAATCGGGTGGGTGAGGCGCCGATTTGATCGGTTCATCGAGGCCTGAAGTACCTTCAGGCGTCAACCACTCACCCGCGTTGAAACCTAACAGATAGGCCAGAGGCGCTAAAAATCTAAATTCTATTTCATCACCGATCTGATATTTGAGAATGGGGTCGGGGAATCTGTGAATGAGATAGAAATCAGGATCAATCTTTCTCATAGTAGTCTCACATTCCATTCTAAGTGTTTGGATAGCTTTATAATATCCGGGAGTAATCGGAGCTCTGTTGATTTTCTTAGGTTCTTTCACTCGTCGCCATTCAACAAACGCACGATCGTTCGGTAAATTAAACCACGAGTGCACGTAAGTGATTTCAGACAGTCCCACTTGCCACCTGCCATTGAGATTGATGTGACGGGCTAGATCGGTTCTGTAACTGGCAATCGTGTTATTTTTAAACACTTCGTTACTGGCGTTAGAGGGCAATGTGATATAAAAACCCTCCTCTTGTCTCAGATCCATTTTTTTTTATTGTATCTGTTTTTTAAACGTCGTGCAGGTCTGAGGCTTTAATCCAACTGGAAAATTTTTGAGGCCAGCCAAGCCATTTAACAAAAACTTGCTTCTGGCCTCTGTAAGTTCTGCGCTTTAAAATTTTTTCAACGTGGAAGGATCGTTCGGTCGATAAGTTTACTTTCTGCAATTCGGGTTCATAAAATGACCCTTCAATTTTTTCCCCATCAAAATCTTTGAGTTTATAAACCGGCGGTGCTCGATGAAGACACTCGTCCACTGTGAACAGCTCGTGCGTGAAACTCATATTTTTTGTCAAAAACACCTCTGAGTTTGGAAATTCTCACAACGTCACCCCTGTTAAACTTCATTTTCTTTGCAGGCTTCGGTGCGGTGGTCCCGTAAAGGTTGCGAAACACTTGCCATTGATTTTCCGTGTTAACTTCAAAGGGGGCCATTTTGATAGAAGTGTGGTAGCTATGATTATAACCTTTCACCAAATCTTGAATCACATCTATGTAGCGATGGGTGTTTTTGGCTGTGAAATATCTCCACATTCTACCTTTTAGAGTCCTGTTAAATCTCTCCACAACGCTGGCCTTTACGCTGCTGGCTGTGGCAAAATGCACAATTTCGTGTTTCTTCATGAGGGCTTCAAATTTCTTATTAAAAAATTCTTTACCGGAATCTGTTTGCAATTTTTTAGGGACACCGCTGTCTTTCAAAACTGAAGCAAAAGCTTCTGTAACATCTTTTCCCGATTTGTTTTTCAGGGCTCGTACATAGGCTTTCTTTGAAAATACATCTATGACGGTTAATAGGTAATTAAAGCCGTCGTTTGATTTTGACAAGGCCTGCATGTCGCATAAGTCAGCTTGAAACTGTTTTAGCGGCCCTGAGACAAAAACCTTATTTCTCGGAAAATGAACTCTTGCAGGTTTGTGAAGTGTATAGGCGTCTTGTTCTGAGAGAAAATCACGAGCCTTATCCGATGAAACTTTCTCCCCAATATCTTGTTGTAAACCGGTTCTAAACCTTTCCACACCACCGTAACTACCCTGATGTTCTGGTGTAAAATAAACCTTTTTCATTACCTCCTCCATCTCTGATGAATGGTTGGCAAAAATGATGCATATTTGTTTTCATTAGTTCTTTTTATTTCATAAATTGTACACACAGCTGAATAAAATCACACAATCTAATCAGAACTAAAATCTAATGACGCTACCGTCAGAAATAAAATCTAATCATACTGTAAAAAACAGCAGTCATCAAATATAATGAATATAATCACACAGTCTAATCATACTGTAAAAAACAGCAGTCGTCAAATATAATGAATAAAATCACACAGTCTAATCATACTGTCGTCAAATATAATCTAAACACTAGTCAGAACTAAAAACTAATCATACTGTCGTCAAATATAATAATAAAGTTGTAGAAGAGACCCTCCGCAGCTCGCTCACTCCATCACCACCCCGGACAGCGCGTCCAGGTCAGCTTTGGACAGGCGATCGTACACCGGAAAAATGTCTTTGTGAATGGGCATCACAGCCCTGAATCCGTGCAGCTGCGTCACAGCCATGGTGAACAGAATCTCAGTGTCCAGAGGCTGGAAGCCGTGCAGACTGAGAAAACTTTGAAGAGCCGGAATCAGTTTAGGTGTTAAAACCCTGCGAATAATGTCCGTAAAGTGAAAATCGTAAAATAATTCATTTTCAGCTACATAAAGACATTCATGTTGCCGTTGACTGGGGTGATCGATCTTGCATCCGTGGCAGATGGTTGGTAAGTGAGCTTTGATCGCCATGTTGACCAAGTGAAGAAGACCCATTTTCACACGGTCTACTTTGTCTTCTGAAAACACCCAGTCAGGCAGACGGTGAGGCTCCTCATCGGTGCTCTGGATGTCGAGGGGTTGCACATCCTCCTCCTCCTCATGACCTGGCCGCGGCTCAGGGTTTGATGTCACCAAAGGTGGATCAGCCCCGTCGACCCAGGGCCTGAATGGTACGTTCTCCGGAACCTCCATGATGGTGGGGAGTCGTGATAGGTTATCCTCTGGAAAACACGGTGGCGCCGATGCGGGCCTTGGACTGCCGTTGTATCTCGGCGGTGGTGGTGATGGTAGCGATCTGGACCTCGGACTGGTGTTGTATCTCGGTGGTGATGAATCCGTTAGTACCCAGCTCGGTGGTGGGCTCCAACGGTCTTTAAGGGTCGTCTGATTGTAGAACCCCGTCATGCTGATGCCTTAGATCGTCTGGATGAAATGGCTTCTAACTGTAAGCTCTTTATAACTAGTGCTGGGTGGGGGGGCGTGGTATGATGCGACATCCTCCTCCTCCTCCTAAGGCAGGTCTTAGTACTCCAGCTTTTTTCGCACTGTCAGAATGTCGTTCCAACAGCGGCTGGTACGAAAAAGTGAAGTAATACGATCCTCCACTTCATTTATTTTTTCACACCAGGCTTCGAAAGGTACAACCTGTAGAAGGCGGTAAATTCCGCATACAGAATGCACATTTTCCAGCACAAAAAAGAGCTCAAATCCTCTCACACGGACCGAGGCCTTGAACATCCACTCTCCATCCGCATCCTCTTCCCCCTCCCATGAAGCGCTGAATGCTGTCACAGCGTTCTGGATTTCATCCAACGTTGGAAGAGCTTGCGGCCCGCTGCGATTGACTGGCGGACGAGGTCTCTCATCATCATCTCTGTGCACCTTGCGTGGAACAGCCAGCCTGAGCACAGCCCAATCGTTGTAGGAGAGAACCGCTGGTGAGTTTGATAAATAGGATTTAAGAGGTTCCCCCTCAGCCACATCTTGGATTAAACACAGTTCCTTAGTGTCGTAGCTGAACCGGTACCCAAAACTACCGGAATAGCCGTAAGGTTCCAACTGCCATATTTGCTCCAAGATCTCTTTACCCCCGAAAGGAGGAACCTGCACTCTGCAGATGTAGAATGTAGATTTGCGGGGAGCTCCAATTCCAGCCGGCATCTGATGTATAGCGATGGATTTTTCACAAAGCATGATTTTTGACAGCGGCGTATCCACGCTCTCTTCTTTCACTTTTTGAGTTGAAGTTGAAGCGTCGGATGTAGTAGGCACCTCTTCCTCGCGGCTTGGTGCTTCATGCATCTCCTCGTGGTTCATCATTTTTTCTTAGAGCTCGGGTTTTCACCATTCGGACAGATCTGAGCTTTTAAAGAGTTATCCACTATAGGATTACACTCATAAGGGAGGGGGCTGTGGGAACCACTGGGGTAACACAATAAGAAACTTCACGCGCCATTACACACATTAGCCTATGACGTGGGGGATCATGGACATCTGGACGCTCAACAATACGCCATTGATGATGCGGCGTGGGGGGTCTAGGCCATCTGGACAATCAACAATACACATGTCCATTTGATTAATGATACGGAAGGGGGGGGGGCAAAGATTGAACAATACACCTGTCCATTTGATTAATGATAGGAAAGGCGGGCAAGGTCAAGGGTCAAAATGAACAATAGGACTGAAAGGTCAAAAAGGACAAAGAACAATAGACCTGTCAAAATGTTTGACGAAAGGTATCTTATTATGTCTCTCTTGAAGCTTTAGAAGAGAAACCTTTAATCGTAGAGGGAGATTAATAACCTCTCTAAAAGTTAACCCACGTCTTTCACCACAGTTTCTGCTCGTTAAACAACAACAGACAGCTACAGCTTATAAGCTTGACTCTCCCATATTCCAGTTAGAACTGACAAAGCTCCTCAGATTAAAAGCCAAACTTCAAGGAACCAAACAAGTCTAGCTGCCTTCATTTGAACCCTTTGGATTTCCATGACCTGGATGACTAACAACCTTCAGCATCAAACTGAAATATTAGCTTCTATTTTGGTTAACGTATGAAAGTCCGCTCTGCAGCAGCCTCTTCATGAGCTCACCACAACTCATGTTAATGCAGAAGCATTTGTTATTCCAGTCCCTGTGGCAGCGGATCGCGGATTCAGCCAGAACATAAAACAGCAAAAAGTCTGTCTGAGGCAAAGTGAACCTCACAGCTGTAGATGTTTCAGTTTTTCCCTGGAGACATACACAGCAAAATCTGCAGTGTTAATTAGTGTCAATTTTCTGGTGAAAATGATTTAGAGTTGATGGTTGTTGAATCCTGGTGTGGTTTGAACACCCACGGTGTCCAAATAGCTCTTGGGGTGGAGCTAACAGCGCGAGTTAAGCGCCAACTCTCCTGTCGAGTTCATTTCTACATCCGGTCTGAGAGGAGAGCGGGCAACTCTAGAAAGTTCCAGGCAGCGCGGGCTAGCAGATGCAGTGTCAAGTTTTCAACGTCAAACGGTAAGTACCACATATATTTATTAATAAAGAGCCATAAACAGCACATAAAATGGGACTTTAATGTAATTTCGGTTTTAGACTGTAAGATGTAAAATTTTGTATCCAGCTAAAGCTAGCTTAGATGCTCGGTAGCCTCAGAGTTGATTAACTATAGACTAGCGCCGTTTTGAATTTTTTAGAAATTAGTTCGGCTGGCCCTAAACCCTGAGAAAATGGACTGGAATTAATTAGTGCAGCACAAAATGTGCGGGAAATTATCGTGAGATTCCCGGAAGTCCCGTTGCACCGACTTAATTTTAGGCGCCTGTCCGGTTTGGGGAGCTAATTCGCATCATGCTAACATAAACTGGTCATACACAGACAAACAACACTTTCTCTTGATAGACGTTTGAGAACGGGTCGCTAGAATCTCAATGGAAAGAACAGCCACTCGGCAGCAGGCGGACGCGCTGCTAACGGCAAATGTTTGTGAAGCTTTAGCCCACTGCTGCAGGTTACATGACTGGTAAAAATAGCTCTCCGAATGGGAAAAAGATGGAGGACACAGCGATTGACATTGTTAAAATATAAGGGACAGAACAGTTCAGTCGGGTGTGGACGTAGTTCTGCTTTCCTCGTGTAAACTACCGAGGTAAACTACAAACTGCTCCTGAAGCAGAAACACCCGCAGCCGAATGACTCAGCGGGATTTAGAACTTTATAATTCCAGATAAGAGCGAGCTCATCTATTTTATTTAAGCACCATGCATGTAATTGTTCTTCTTTGTGCTTAAACAGTAGAGAAAGTCACTACCAAACACACACAAGCGGATTTAACGAGTCGATCCGTGCACATTGGATAAACGGAGAATATAAAGATTTTCCATTTCTGTTCTTTCTAAGCATGAATAATGTCTTGTTTTAAGTTTTTTCTTTAAATATTGTTTAGATTTCTACTGATTTAAAACACTTGTTTGTTTGAAATATGTAAATTTTAGAATAAGCAACAAGAATAAATATAGAGACTAAAACTTGAGAATTTTTCATTTTTATGCCAGCTTTGAGTTTTGTTTTGTTTAAAATAAATCTATTTTATTATATCAAACACTAACTACTTTTCTCCTTTTGACATTTTTTCCTAAGAAATCATCATGTTGCTGAAGGTGAAACACCAAAGTTCCAAGAAGTACATACGGTTACAGCCAGGGTTCACATATTTGGAGTTCATCAGTGAAGGTGGGTAGCTGTCTTGTGTACCTTCACAACAATCTGAACAAGCTAAATCTTTTGTTATGTTAAACTACTTATACTTATTGTACCTTTTTCTTAGTAATTTTATTTGGTCTTCGACAAAGGCAGAATTTGTAGATTTTCACATCACATGTAAATGTTTACTTGCAGTGTTGAGTTAGCAAATGTAAATAACTGAAATTTGTTTTGTATGCACATAAGTTAGTGACTGAAGTGTCACATCACTAAACTTCATTTTTAAGTGAAAGCAATGTGGAATTTTAGAGTAGCTTTAGAAATACAGTTCTTCTTTCTTTCAAACTAAATTTTGCATCAGACATATTTACCTCATGTTATCATCTTCTTTTAGTCAAAAACAAGTTTGGGCTTCCTGATGTCACAGAACTGCACATTTTTGATGAGACTGATACAGCAGTGGAGGAAGACATCTTTCTTGAACTGATAGAGGCCAATCCTGACATATGCCTGACTGTAAGTGACAGCTCAGCAGGTGATGGTAAGTTTCATTTCATTGTTAAATCTTATTTTAATGAATGCTCATGGATTTTCAGGTGCAGATTTTTATAATACCTTTTGGCTGTAACAAGCTGGCTATTCCAATAATATATTTAATACTACGATCAGCAACAGTATCTAAAAGGCAAACATTTAAAATTGTGGTTGTTTGCAGTTGCATAAAATCCAGCCAAATTGAATTTTGTTAAGAAATCTATTTTATTGAAAAGATAATGCAAATTGGTCTACATAATTAAACAGATAAGGACTTTACACATGATATGCGGATAACACATGGTGCAAACATACAAGAATAAAAGCTATGTTACACATGCACTCAACAGCCCATACACCCTAATCACACTTTACTCTGTCTACCTTCATGAAAAATTATAGCTTAATCTCTTTATTTGAATATGAAATGTTAGTATAAAATAAACAAATGGAATGAAACTAACATATTTCATACTTAGCTGATTTTATTAAACACATATACTTATGGCAGAATTACCTCAGAACTGCACTCCTCCACCAGGTTGGCAAGTTATTTTTTTCTTCATGTTTGAAATTATAATTTTTTTTCTTATAGCTCATTCAACCTCATCCTCCCTCACGGATACCGTGTCACTATCGTCTAGTGACAGTGATCTTCACAGAGATTTGGGGATCCCTGTTACTGGAAGTAGATTGAGCTCTGGGGTCAAGAACAAGTCTACCACAGAAGTTTCAGAGTCTGAGGCTGCAAAAGAGGTACTTCAGATTCATTTTAAAAAATTCTACTGTAATTGGCATAATTCAGATTGCTACAATATAAATATGGTTTCATAAAAAATTGTAAATTGTATGATAAGATAATCTGAATGAATAGCTGCTGCAGGTATTTATTTTTTATTTTTACTGGCTGGCAGGGAAGTAGTTCTGTCTGTTTTAGTATGAACTAGGAAAGGGCAAAATGACCTAAAACTGATATTGCGCTAAATTTTGAAGCACATGTTGTAATGATAAATATCTCGATTTATTCTTCTCTTCTGTTTATAAATGTAAAAATCACTGTTTTTGAACAATCTGACATGCCCAGTTAAATTGCATAACAAATAATTCTAAAGTATACAATAAATTTCAATATATATTATTTATTATAAATTGCATTTAATTTTCTAAACTTAACTAAATACAACATATCTCAGTTTTAATGTTAAGGTTATTTTTCCTAACAATGCAACAAAATTATAACATGAATAAAGATGAAGATATTTTAAAAAACAAGCTAAATGTGACAGACTAGATTCTAAATTGTCTGAACTAAAGTGAAAAATGCAAATAACGATAATGATTCAATAATGTATCATATTGTTCTGAGGATGTTTTTCTGCTCAGCATCAGACTACAAAACAAGGTCTGTGTAACCAATGTAACCTCATGCTCTTTACAATCACATCTTCACGCTCTCTGCTCTCTGTGTTTCGTCCAGAGCTGACGCAGATTGACAACATTCATGTAAAAGCGGGACAAGTTTACGCTCAGCCTTGTTACTTAAAGAGCTGAACTGTCGCACTCCTCAATGACGTCATCAGCAAGCGCCAGTTAGCCGATAGTAAATCTTTATCGTAGGCCAAAATCATACCGGTTACATTTTGTACAGTTTATACCATGCATTACTAGTAAGAACTGAAAAATGATGGTTTATACTTTTTGTTTTATTTCGCAAGACATAACCTGTCTCTGTTAATTGACAACTTGTTGTAGATGGTAGAGAATGCATTGCATGTAAAACCTGGAGGTGAGGATGTCTTGGAAGAGTACAAGTTGGAGAAATCCCTGCAGCATCGCACGCGCAGGCAACTTGTTAACATACTGGCTAGTCATATGACTGAGATGCACGGGTAAGAAACTGGACTGATTCAGATTAAAAGGATCAATCTAGCAAAAGGAATGTTTGGTTTTCAAGATGTACTGAATTATGGTTTTATAAAACCTTGTTATAACTTACTAATTTTTGTTTGTATTCGTTTTCTTTGTTGTAAAGGAGGATTCCTTCACGTAAGCAGAAAGAGAAGTATGCCCTGGGAATCATTACGCTTTTTCCTTCACTGAAGGATCCTTTTTCTCCAAAAGGCTACGTAAGTAAAAATAAATAAATAAATAAATATATATATATATATATATACCGTATTTTCTGGAGTATAAGTCGCTCTGGAGTATAAGTCTCACCAGCCATAAAATGTATAATGAAGAAAGAAAAAACATAAAAGTCACACTGGAATAAGTTGCATTTTGGGGTGAAATTTTATTTTTCTTACAAAATCTGAGACCAAGCATTTCACATTGCAAGACAAGTACTGGTAACAACAGAATAAAAAAACAAGCTGTTGCATCAGCGGTACGCAGCAGCGTGCCACGATCTCCAGCAGAGTTTGGCAGTGTTTGAAACCCTCCTAGCGGGACAGGTGAGTTCATTCCTGGGTCGGAGCCGGCCTGCAGCAGCGCGGTATAGCCTACATAATTTGGTATATAAGTCACTTTGGCTGGTCCTGTGACTTATATACCAGACTATGGAAAAAAAAAAGTGCAACTTATAGTCCGGAAAATACGGTATACCTGAAGAAAAATCTACTCAGACTAACTGTTCAATGTTTGTAGGGATGCACATTTTGAAAATTTCTTTAACCGGCTAATGATGCCCCTTAACGATTAATAGCCGGTTAACCAGAACCAACCAACAACGCTCATTACATTTATGAACAAAAAGAAAAGAGTGAGATGACAGCTGGAATGTCCTTCAGACTCAGAACTAGTTGTGCAGTGAACCGTCTGGCATCAAATACACATCGCTGCTGGCAATTGCACGCTCATAAGCGCATTCTGGAGACCACGGTTTAAAAAAAATACTTCCTTTCCTTACATTAAACGAAATAGTTACACTGGCATGTTCTGCCAGGCTCAGCACTTTGATGGGAGGCCTATTGTGTTCCAGGAATGAAATAACGAAGAATAAACTGCTTCCACAGTGCTAATTGCTCAGTGTTTGACAAGCTAATTTCTTCTGTGGTTGCCCGGGAAACATTATAATAGTGTTACTATTGCGCCCTCTAGTGGCACATAATATATTACACGGAAACACAGCAGCAGGATATGAAACTGTTGACCGGGAAAAACTATTTTACCCGGTTACAACATTAACGGCAATTAAGCGGTTAACTAAGTGCATTCCTAAGTTTTTAACATAATATAATTCACCAGTTAGAAAAAAGGTCTAAAAAATAGTGTGTGTGTGTGTGTGTGTGTGTGAGTGAGTGAGTTGTACCCCATATTTGAAAATTAAATTTGTGTAAAATTTAAGTTGCTCTTCTGAGATATGTGAGTGAACATTATTTTCTAATATTTTTTTTTAATTTCATTGACAGGAGCACTTCTATGATGGGGAAAAAGGCACAGGATATTTAGCGTGGCGCCTCAAAACCATGTCCAGGAGTAGATATAAGAGGCCAGAGAAGGTAGCCACCTCACCTCATGTGCAAGGACCAAACCGTAAAAGAACAGCAACCACAGTGCCTCAACAGCTTGATGGAGATGCCTGCAGGGAGGCAGTTTCATTTCTTCTTCACTGTAACGATGAGACAGTTGTCTTTCAAAAGATGAATATGACCTTTCAACATCGACAGGACCTTGTGCATGATCCACAGACAAGTGCAGATGTCTTCATAACATTCCCACGTTTTTTAGACGTTAAAGGACTAGTAAGTGGTATTTTTAATACGACTGCAAATGACTGCAGTCTTAGCTGGTCAGATTTTGACAATGGTGCTTATTTAATTAAAGCATTTTCATGCGTTAATGATTAATAGGTAAACCAAGACTTCCAACTGTTGCTTGGAGCTGAAACCTCTTCTAAAATGCTTGAGAAATGGGACACGACATTTAAACCCAAGGTTATTGATGAGGCCCGAAATCTGACTCAATCAGCGGAGGTTCGCCAACTTCTGAAAGCTGCTGAGAACCTTTCAACAGATGATGACTCCAGTAAGGCTACTCACACTCTTGCATTGTAGTACAGCAAGCTCAAGCTTTTTTATTTGTGAATTTTAATATGCCTTCTTTTTCCCTGCCAAAAGACTGGGACAGTGATATGGCTTCTCTGCTGCTCCTTCTTCATTTGTTGCCACCCACTGCTGGTCGAAAGAGGACAAAAATTAGCCCCTGTGATGCGGTGGACAAAATGGTGCACTTTCACAAGGTGAATACGCCTCTTCTATTACAGTCTAATAAACTAGGGTAACCCATTAGCAACAGACTATTATTTCCTATCCGTGTATCATTCGTTCTTTTCATTTTCTATTTAAACAAAGTTTAAAAAAGGCAAATTTTGTTTATTTGGTTATCCATCCATACATTTTCAGCTGCTTGTCCGGGGTTGGGTCACGGGAACAGTAGCTTCTCTGGCTCCTCTCAACGCAGAGGAGCTGCGAGTCGACTCCGAGCCCCTCCCGGATGACTGAGGTTCCCACCCTATCTCAAAGGGAGAACCCAGACTCCCTGTGGAGAAAACTAATTTTGGCCGCTTGTATCCGCAATCTTTCTTTTGGTCACTACCCAAGCGGCTGAAATGAATGCAGGGAACGCCTTGGGATTTCTCAAGAGGAGCCCAAGTGGCTGTGAAGAGGGAAGTCTGGTCCTCTCAGCTTAGGCTGCTGCCCCCGCGACTCGACCCTGGATAAGTGATTAAAAATGGATAGATGGAATAGAACGAATGATGCATGGATTATTTCCTATATGCAAGTTGTCATTACAAAAGTAATTTTTATAGTTTTCTTATTGCCATATGTACACACCATATGCAGTTTGCTGTATAGCATGCAGGAAGCATTTAAAAAATTGAAGTTGCTCATTTCTCAACTGCTTTTTTACTGGTGCAGCAGTAGCTCAGGTGGTAATGCTGGTTGCCTCATAAATGGAGGATCATGGGCTCGATTCCAGCCCCCGCCAGGTGTATTCTGCTGTTGTGTCCTTGGCCAAGACACTTCACCCAACTTGCCTGTGTTGGTGGTGGTCAGAGGGGCTGACGGCGCCAAATGGCAGCCTCGCCTCTGTTAGACCTCCCCAGGGCGGCTGTGATTACAAAGTAGCTTACCATCACTAGCAGTGTGTGAATGTGAGAGTGCATGAAAGCATCTTTGAGTGTCCTAAACAAGCGCTATATAAGTTTGATGATTATTAAGTGTTCTTTCCAGTTTCATAGGTTTATTCCCTTCACATAAAAGCAAAACATTTAATTAGTTTCTCACCATCTATTTGTGGAAAATTTTATACATTTGTTGGTTGCTGGATGACCATACTGGAGTGTTTCAGCAATAAATACGATTATAAAAATGTCTATTTCATTTGTATGTGTTTTTGTTTCTCAGTCAAACTGCAGCATTGATGAACACCTGCAGAGACGAGAGGGGAAGCAGCCATACATTCTTGCAGTTGGTCGCACACCAAACAAAACTGGTGCATTCTACATTGTTGTGGACAAGCACCTCATCCCCTGCCAAGCCACCAGCTCATTGGGTGCTTTTGATGAACTGTTCAAATGTCACTACGTTTTCAACCTGTCCTATGATGAGTCCCTGGTCCAGCTCTTCACCTTTGTGCAAACAACGATCTACAACATCGACGCTACAACAACAAGTGGATCTCCAAGAGTTTGTGAGCTTCGAGCAAAATTCTTTAACTAGGTTTAAAAAATGTTCAGGTGTTTCATCTGTCAAGCTGTTCATGCTGCTTGCCAGTTACTAATAACTCATTTAAGACTTGACCATAGTTTCTATCCAAGCACCAGGTTTAAGTTGGTTTGTGCACAAGATCGTTGTAGGCGACAGTTTTCTACATATTCGGGTTTCAAAAAACATTTAGCTGTTCGTGAAAAGGATCTTTCGCAAAATCTTGATGCAGAAAATCCTGTTAACTGTTCAGATGGTGACACTAAAGAAAGCGAAACCAATACCACGCAGAGCCCAGAAAATAATGGCTTTGAGGAGAAAGGAACTGATCTTATTGCAAATGTGAAACATATTTGTGCGTCAATAATTGGTAAACTGCAAGGAAGTGGTATGACAAATAGTGCATAAGAAAAATTGGGCCTCTAATACATATGTGGAGCATGAGGTTTGAAGCTAAACATAAGGTTTTCAAAAACACTGTTAAGAACTTTAAAAATGTCACAAAGTCCCTTGCAAAAAAACACCAGATCTCCATAGGATACCACTGGGAGACGTCACCTTTAAATCGCATCGAACATGGACACTTGAAATCATTTAATGTGGACACTGAGGACAATACAGAGATCTTTGCAAAAGCGCTGCATGCAGCACCAAAAGACTTATTTTCTTCTACCTGGATCAAAATAAGTGGAACAGAGTACAGACAAGGACTAATCATTTGCTGTGATGTTAAAAATGAAATGCCTGTATTTAGTCAAATAAGAAAGATCATTTTAGCTGACAGTACCACGTACTTCCTTATGGACAAGCTTGTGGTCGATAACTTCAGTGAGCATTTTCATGCCTACAAAGTGTTTAAGATTGAAGAAAAGGATGTTGTGAAAGCAGACAATCTCATCAGTTACAAACCGTTTGACTTGCAATGTGCACATAGTGGTGTTGGTCAGTATGTTGTGCCTCTATTTTATTTTTAGTTGTATTAAAGCAGCTGATTGGTGGCCAGTTTGTTTTGGTGCTTGGAAGACCTTTGGAATTAAAGGATTTTTATTTAATTTGTTTATGTATCGTTGTATTTCTTGAGCCTCAAAGGCAATTACGTTCAGGCTTAATAGAGATGAATGGCATTTATGGCATTTATCTTTCACATTATTCTGTTGCCTCATGTGAAATGTGAAATTTTGTAAATTTTGATTATGGGAGTGTTTTCACTATTGCAAACACTTAACTACAACCAAACTGGTGTTTGCTGTGAATTTCACAATATCATAACAAATTGATAATTAGAACATGTTAAAAACACTTGTTAAAATTTTAATCAAATATTAGTGCTGATTAGTGTTAAATACACTTAAAAGTGACACTCCAAAGTGTCATAAAACAACACTCCAAAGTGTCATAAAACAACACAACACTCCAAAGTGTCATAAAACAACACTCTAAAGTGTCATAAAACAACACCATTGATGGTGTTATTTTATAACACTATTGAAAGTGTAATTTTAACACTGGACTGGTGAGGATTATATAAACACTGCAATAGTGTTAAAAATAACACTATCCGAGTTAAATTTACACTGACGATTTTGCTGTGTATGATCACGCGCAAGCAGATGACCAGTTCAGGTTTTCACGGAGCAGCAGGATGGTGAGAGAGCGTTCTGGCCTCAAGTGGAAGCATTACATTGCATTGCTTACCGGGGCGCTTTAAATATCCATGATAGTTAAATTAAAACAGAAATGTAATGGTGTTGAATGTTAATTATTATTATTTAAAAATAAAAGTAACGGAAAGAAGCTTATCATGACCTGTTTTTAACCCTGCGATCAGAACGATGGGGAAAAAACTCTAGTATATGTAAGGAAAAATAATGTTTAATCACATATGTGACAATCATATATTCATTTTTATGGTTAATCATCAGTATGCTTTGTGAAAATAAGGTTTGATCACACAGGTATTTATATGCTTATAATTAATCACCTGTATGTTGATCCCCATATTAATCATTTCAATGTTCGGGTGTTACTCACGTCCCTTTGAACTGAACGATGCATATACCAAATGAATGACTCACCTGTGACTGGTACAGCCTAGCACTGAGTTAGACCTATATCTGATTTATGCAGGCTGATACTGCTAGAAGTTTCAGCTTGTGCTGAAGGAGATTCTCAACAGGGGAAGGCCAGGTGCAGACTAGACCATCTAAAAGCTGTTCAAAGGGAAAAAGCCAGGGCGTAGGCCATCGCAGCCTTAGCAAAGGAAGATAGGGTGGGAAGCAGATGGGGCAATGTGTCTCCCATCTTATCTGGAGGAGGGAGTGAAAGCAGAGAGGGATGTCAGCTACCAAGGCAACAGGCGATGGCCTTCAATAAAGTTAGGGAGGGGTCAACATGAAACTTTGCAGCATGAGAGGAAGAATACAAAGTTGTACATCTTGTAAAATCTTCAGATTTGTCACAGGGACTGGGGTGGCAGAATTTCTCCTAATGCATGTGGAAAATAAAGTGTGATGATTGCAACATAAGGCAACTTGTGGCTTACTTCTTGTCCCACGCCCCTGGTTGTAACTGCCTTCTATAATTTTGTACATAATTGTAACAGAAATGTTGTGATTGTATCTTTTGCTGCCTCTTGGCCAGGGCTCCCTCAAAAATGAGAACTTTAATCTCAATGGAACCTTCCTGGTTAAATAAAGAATATAAAAATAAGAATATAAAATGTATTTAGATAATGAAACGTCAAAAAGGAAAATTACTTTACTTGTTTGTCAGTGCATTTGAAGAAACAACTTTAAATGTTATTTATTTAACCAGATGAGTCGATAGAGAACTCATTCTCATTTACAACAACGATCTGGCCAAGAGGCAGCAGCAACAGACACATAATTAGCTTTACATCAAATAAAAACAGATGAGATCAAATCAAACAAGATTAAAATTAAAATAAAGTTAATAACAAAATTATTATAACAGGTGTAAAACTAACTTGTCTTTACTTTAAGTAATTGTTTGAGGAAGATATCACATGTTATGTGTGTTTTATTAGTCCCATTCTGAACACACAGGTGTGTTTTATTCTGCTCCAGCAGGTGGCGCTAGTGCAGCTTTACGCTAGTCACCGACCACCTGAAGAAACAGAAACCGGAAGCTGCTAGCAGAGCTAGCTTGTTGTTCTGGTGTGTGAGGAGAATATTTGAGGCTCTGCAGTAAAAATGTCTTCACTTCAGTCTCTGGGAGAGTTGATCAGCTAAAGCGACTAACTGCTGCTGCTGCAGAAATCTTCTCACCAGGCTGTGGAAACTTTCTTCTCCTCAACAACTTGGTGGAGTTCTTTCCAGAACCAGAGAAGATATTCTGCGGTCTTCGTGACAATCGGAGCTCCAGAATCAGGTTGTGGGTGAGAAAAGCTTTTCTCTAGACTTCCTGCCCTCTGGATCTGCTGCTGTTCCTTTGGCCTCTCTGAGAAACGCGCTCGTTTTGCTGCTTTCATCAGATATAAGAGGTTCCCTCTTATCACGTTGGTCAAGTGAGCCGTCGTTCGTTTGTCCGTGGTCAAGTGAGCCGCACCTACAATTGAAGTGCGCGTTTATACTGTAGTTTACGGCAACACCCGTCGCGCTGCTGGAGAGGAGCTGAGATGAGCGACATAATGGGCTGATACCAGGATGACACAGAGCTGCTAAATGTGCCTTTTTGATAAAGGATAGAATTGTGTCTTTGAAAAAGGACACTAAGCATCCTATACATACATACTAAGTACCTCGAGTACTACCTGGTACCAAAGAACGAACTACTTTTACTGTGTACTTTTTCAGTAATTGTACTGCAAAGTATGTCCAAAAAGTCAAAAGTGCCGTGTTTGAGATGGGATAAAATGGTATTTGGGAAAAAGGACACTAAGTCACCTATACATACCTGCTAAGTACCAAGAGTACTACCTGGTACCAAAGTATGAACTACTTTTACTGTGTACTTTTTCAGTACCGTATTTTCACGACCATAGGGCGCACCGTGTTATAGGGCGCAGCTTCAGTTACCGGTGTCTTTTTTGGTATTTAACACATACAAAAGGCGCACCGGGTTATAGGGCGCGGGCACGGTAAAACATCTGTGCGGGCTCGGGATCGGAACATTATCAGTGCAAACCAGACATTGTGAAAATTATAAACGCCAACACGAACGACGGCTCACTTGACCGCAGTCTCTCATCAGACTCGCTCATCTGAGTTGGTCATGATGCAGGATCGCTGCTCGCTCTCTGATCCATCCTGCTCACACTCTCTGACGGAAAAGCCCCGAATCTGAATGTGACTCTGGAGGAAAAAGCGGTTAGCTCTACTCCGTGAACTCTGGTGAGCAAAGGTCCTCTTTTCCAGACTGGATCTGTCCTCAGCTGATCAGAACCAAAGCGTTGGATCTTTAATCTCCTGCGTTGTTCTGAAGCAGCATCTTAATCAGCTCCTGCTTTGTTTCTATTGCAGCTGTTAGCTAAACACGGCTAAAGAAAACCTGCTACCACTTCAGGATCATCCATCAGCTGGGACTGATTCATCGTGTGCTCTTCACCACCTGGACAGCATGGACACCGGTACTGGTGGATGAATGAATGAATATATAGTCAATCTATGGTGGGACATTACAGTGAAATTATGAGAATGAGGTTCAATCTTTAAAATAATGATCTTTATATGTTTAGCACTACTGGGGCTCTAAAACCCCCCAAAGCTTTTTCATCACGACCAGTCATTCACTCATTCAGACTGTTGTATAACCTTGAAGTTTTGAGTGATTAGATCTCTCTAATGAATGATTTTTGAAGCCAAGTATAGTGGTCATGTGACTCGTATTGATCCAAAGAATTTTTTTTGTTTTGAGGAGAGTTAAAGTCCCAAAGTCGTCATCACACACTGGTGAAGTTACGTCCTGCATTTGACCCGTCCCCATGGGGAGCGGTGAGATTAAGCTGTGGGAACTATTTGGTCTTCTGTCGGGTTTCAGTCACTACGAGAATCAGTCAGAGACAGGAGAGGTTTTCATCTTGTTCACGACCTACCTTTGTTGTAGCGTCAGTTACACATCATCATTTGACCAATCACAGTTGGGGAGACAGCATGCTGCAGACACGACGGCAATGGTGCTGACAGCATGTAT